AAACGTATAAAATTAGGAGAATGATGGCGGTTCCGCGGGATAGCTGAAGAATGCTGGCGTCCTTGTCCATCTTTCCATCCTTTCCATCGCTGACCTGAGCCAGTACGCCGTAAAGCTAGTGTTTATGTCAGCTCGGAAAGTTCCTGATAGAGAAAGAAAATATATGCTTACCGCAGCAGGAATGATAAGAGAGGCGGAGGACAGAGTCATCAAGGAGCAGCTAGCTTGAGCAACCGCTGATGAAAACTTTTGCTCGAATCCGTTTCCGCTCTCTCCTCGGTGAACAAGACCGCCAAAGAAAAAGCACATGCCCATGACAAGGAGCAAGTTGGACAGGATAGATCCCAGCATAGAAGACTGAACGATGCCGATTTGGCCATCCCTCAAAGCAACGATGCTCACCTACGAATCATGTTAGTGGCTTCCCAAATATCAATCAGGGTTTAACCCACAATCAACTCAACAGCATTTCCGAATGTCGCATTCAGGAGTCCGCCCATCGTTTCACCCAACTTCAGCGATATTTCTTCGGTGGCAAAGGAAAGCACAGCTGCGAGAGGAATGATGGCAAAGAAATTAATGGTGAATACGGCGGTAGGGTTCCAGCCCAGCGCGCCGGCAACGATGCCAATTGGGACACAAGGAAGCAGAAGGTTGACATAGTCTAAAGGAAAAGTATTCATGTTAGCCAATTGAATATGCGCTCAGAGATTTCACAATCGACATACTGCTAAAAAGGGTCACCTTGGTGACATGCCATGTTTTGGCAAGACAGTGGACGGTGATGTTCTCGCTGTCCAGACCAGGGGTGTGCTCGGAGTCGATCAAGAAGGTGATGATAGGCGATCGGTGATCATGATGCTCAACATGGCCACGGCTCACATGGGTGTGAGACCTGGATGAGCCGCCATTGAGGAGGGGTGCTCGCTCGTCGGCGGCAGTTGTCGTACTGGGCTTAGAGTTACTCATTTGGCGTCGGAGCCGATTGACGAAGGTTATATTCGCTAGATTGAGTGGCCATGGTCAGTTTGCGGTTCTCAACAGCGATTATATACGTTGGCGCAACAAGCGCCGTGCTTCGTGAACAAGCGACGATGTTGGGACGGCGTGATACGGAACCGAAAGCTCGAAACGGACAAATGAAACAAATGGAGTTGTTTGTGATGTTGGATATGCGAACTGGAGGGAGCCGTACAGTGATTACTAGGGTAGTGTCCTTGCTCTTACACCCAATTGGGAAAGTTCATAGACTGAGAGCTTTGTCCGTGGCGTAAGCATTGGTAGGGGGGAGGACACAGCAACAATTTGCCAAACAGGAGGGCCGATGCAGGGGGAAGCGGCGGGACAACGACAGAGGCTTTGATGGAACAAGCAAATGATGTAGGACGTGGAAAAGAGCTTTCAATGATGGGATGGATCGAAATAAAGATTGCACGGGTCGTGGGTGGGAGGCCTTAGTTCCCCCACTAGACCGACGAAGAGGGGACTGTGAGGCTGTGCAAGCCCCCAGTTCCATCACCTCGCCTTGGGCGCACGCCTCAAAAGCTTCGCAGGTGTGTGTGGCTCTGGCAAATCTGGATTTTGGGGAAAAGCCCAACTCCCGGGTTTCCACTTGGCCAAGGTAGTATCAAGGCATATCCAGTGCGATTGCGATGGCCTGTGATCCGACAGGGGAAAGAAACCAGGCGGGAAGATTGATAGCAACATGAAATGAAATGGCTTGACTCACAAATTCCAAAGCTCATGACAACAGTAATCACAATTGATGGATCGGACCAACTTGATCGCCAGGCAAGACACAGCCGGTGTGTCTGCGACCTGATTTATCAGGGAAAGCTTGTTTCTATAAGCGCCCGATGTCAGTCGTCAATTGCACATTTCTCCCATCCGCAGGGCGAGTTCCATCAACGCAGGGAATCCAGAGCTTTCGCGGGGCGCGTGTGGCTGGGGGTCAATCATTGCTTTACTTACCGACTAAACGGAAGGCAGGCGGCCAAGGCTTGGCTCAGGTAGACTGGGGATAGCGGAACCACGGGGCGACAATCGCATTCGCGACTAGAGCTTGTCAGGTGGTAATGGTAGGCAAGAGAGGACGAGGCTTGATAGAGGCTGGCGGGAAACAGCCGAATGGCGATGCTGGTCTCCTGGGTGATCTTGTCCAAATCAGCGGAATGGCAGGAAGCTAGCTCTGGAGCCAGCTGTGGAGAGGGAGGCAAGGAGAACTAGCAAAACAAAATGAAAAAGGGGGCAGTGGCAGGAATGTACCGAAGAGAACGACTTGAACAGAAAGAAGTGGTGTGGCCTTGAATTGGGGTGTGTGTTGGGCGCAGAGTGGAAGAAAGAAAGAGAGTGACGGGAAGCAAGCTGTGGCACTACACTACAAGCGCAAGCTTCCCCCAGAGGATTAGGATGGATTAGAGGTGGAGCTAGCAGAAGCGCCAGCGTCTGCACCGCCTCAATCTCAGAGACCGCGGGCCAAGCATTTCGCCGGGATGTGCGGGCCCTCGCTTCCACAATCCGTGTGCAGGTCCCAGGAATGTGCCTGCTGCTGCACGCTGGGCAATAAAGCAACAGGCCAGCAAGGGGCCTAAAAGTGAAATCACCCGCAAAGTGGCACCAGTCCAGTCCGGGTACGTGCTGGCTCTCCGTCCGGGCCACGCAGGCTCCACCGGGTCAGCGCAGATGCGAGTGAGCAAGCATGCTGCGAGAATCACTGCAATCGGCATCATGCGAGCCTGCCTACAGTAAGATGCGAGTCTGAACACCCGGGCCTGGGTTTTACGTCCGCAGCCACCAACATAATGTAAAACGTGTTCCCGATTATTTAGTGGGCTCAGTGGGACCAAGGAAAGTGGGAGCGGCACAGGGATGTGGGGTGTCTCTTACGATGTGATGATGGCCCGCGCACAAGCACAGGCTCATCATCCGTGGCTCCTTGGCAAATGATTATTACCACATCGTGTCGTTGCTGTAGCTGCCCGACGCTGCGCTTACTAAGTTGCAACCCCAGATGGCGAGCAGGTGGGTGGCCGTCGATACGCGCTTGGGAACTTGGGTATGCGGCAGTTTGGGGCAGGCCATAGTGCATCCATCCTGACGTAAATATTGGCCAAGTACTACGCTGCCGACAAGCACAAACACTGAGCACAGCAGCCCCAGTGAGCTGGAGCACAGTGGGGCGGGACGTCGCGGCCAAATGGGTTCCGTACAGGGGGTGCATAGGCTAAGCTTCTCACTCATGCAAGGCCACAGCGCCCGCGCCATACGACATGGTGCGCTCCCAGATATCATCATCTCCTTACCCACCTCCCTAATCGCTCGCCCGCCACCGTCGTAATGAATAGCCTCGTTCTGAGCTGTAGTCCAAACTCAAAACCGGGTTGCCATCCATCGTGTGCTCCCAGTGCTACATAAGCACCGGTCCAACCATCCCCAGATTTCCGTATCTGTGGATTCCTGCTCTTGCTGCCCCGTCTTATCCGTCACCACTCGCGGATGTGCTGGCTCCAATCGCCACCCTCCACCAGGGGGATCGCTGTCCCAGTGCTCATCTCCATAGCACCTCTGGATGCTTGTGTTCCTGCCAAGTTAGTCGGTTAGTACTCCGTCATGGGAGGCCGCTGGCACAGCCAAGACAGTTCAAGCAGCTCGGCTTGTACCGCAAATATATTGGGGCCGTCAGGGTTTTTTGGACCCTCATGAGATCTTCTGGTTGCCTCAAGGATCGGTGAGCTGCACCGCCAATCATCATTAATCCTTGCGTGGAACAGTATGAAGTCATCAATGGATGCAGCCTGACAGTTCATTGACCGCTCATCCTCCACTAACATCTGCATTGTGGCGTGTGTCGATGGGCTCTAAACTAACCTCGTCTCATTGGAGAGCTACAAGAGAATAACGAACATGAAGCAACCCAGAGCCTAAGAGGGATTCTAAGAGGAATTCGCTCTATTGTTTACTCGCCCTGCTCTTCTTGATGTTGAAAAACTTCGGGCCTTCATTTCGCCTCCTTTGCATGTCATCATGTGGCTATACTCGCATGTTTGTGCTCACTACTCTTTCTTCGGGAAACGGAAGCCCTTTCGGCATCCTCTAACTCTGATCCTGCTTATTTCGAGTGACGCTCGCCGTGACGGCCTCCCGCTGTAGGAACGTTTAATTTGACAATCCCTGCGGTAGGCGGAATGGCTTGGCAAGGCGTAGCAATCGATGGTCCATGAAGCCCCCGTGAAACGACGAGTAGAAATTGGCTGGTGACAGCCTTGTTCGTCATGTGTAGAGGGAGATCATACAACATAGCCATAGCCCCATACATGCTTATCAGTGTCGACTATACAAGTCTTGGCGCGAGGCTGAAGAGTATGAATACTGACTCCTTCTCCACTCGCCAAACTGACATACAGTACTACAGAGACAAAATGGGGGTATGGCAACAGCATGGTCACCTAGTGACCACCTGGTTCAAACTACGACTAAGATAGTATGAGACTTGCGAAAGAGGCTGGCTGTCCGAGGCTTACGAATAGAGGCTGAGTATTGGTTCTCACGTTTACTCAAAAGTGTAGGAACCCTAGTCGTTCGCTCGGTCACAACAGGCTGACCACGCGTCCCACCAAAGAAGTTTCGGGGGCTGAGGAAACAGGCATACGTCTTCATTTCGGTGTAGCAGGGCCCTCAAATAAAAGATCATGTCATCAGTGAGCAGAGCACTTGCCGAAACAGGATATAATTGATCCTCATCATTCGCAAGCGACTGGTAGAAACCAGCCGCTGAACGGTTTGTGTGCCACCAGGGTCAAACGATCTTCAATGCCAATCGCATCTGCACAATTTGTGAGATTCACTGCCAATATTACTACTCCCTTATCAGTTGCTAGGGCATTCGGGTCACTTCGAAGGTAAATTCATCAATCTATTTCTAGGGAGAGGAGATAGCCTACTGCCGCCGGTGTCTGACCCCAAAACTTGGTACCACTGTTATCCAATGGATAAGCACGCAATCATATCTCTCCCAATGCTGTTCACTGTTAGTTGCTGAATAGTCCTTTAAAAATAAAAGGGGGAATAAAGGGGAGGGGGGCTTAGACTTACCTGCAGAGAATGCCAGAAACCAGGTTAGTGATGCTCCTCCATCGATCCAGTGCGGGTCAAACTCCTTTGATGAGAAGAATTCCCAAGCTTTCTTTGGGTCAACAGTGGCATAGCTGGCATATATGATCCCCTTCCACGCGTTGCGAATTTCGTCAATCCGCCCGTCGCTGAAAAACATGTTCCATTCCTCTTGAACAAAGTCCTGGCCCCGTATGAATGGTGTCGGCGCAAGGATGGGGATCATATGAATGCCCTGAATACACTCGATATCAGGCGAGAAGAAAGTCGTGTGGTCAACCTTGTTTTCAAACAGAATCCCAGCTACCTTGTTCCCAATGAATTGAGGCGGTTGCACCTTATTGTTCGCCTGGTATAAATAGTAGTGCCGGAGGCTACGGGATAGGATGGATAGTTGTAAGTTTCCTCTAATTTTGGATTAGTATCTTAGATTTATCAGAAAAATCCGTCTATGCTCTGCAGCCTTACCTTGCCTCCAGATGTGCATTCTTGGTTACCTTCCCCCACATCTTGAGGGCATAGGCGTGCATCATATCTTCGGAACTGGATTCTTGATTCTGCAATGCGTTAGCTATACTGGGAAGATCACAGCTGAATTGCCCATACCTTGCCATCCATGGCCGCATAGAGCCCATGCGCCCAGCTATGGCCGTGGTACCAGTCGAAGCTTCTCCACATTGGAAAGTGATGATCTTTGGAACTTGGATTCGCAACATCGCGGACGAGAACATCAACATACTCCTTTATTTGAGGGAGCCATTCCGGGTCAATATGGGCAATTATTGCTCCTGCAAGAATATGATACCCGTAATGGAAATGATGGTCATTGTAGAGGGTGTTGCCGAAATCAACGCCCGTGTCACCAGTGGCGTAGGTTGCAGAAGAAACGACCCCACCCCAAGCCTCTGTTGATTCAAGTTGTGAGAAACTGTTTCGCCTCAGTACTACGCAGAATAGAGCTTGACACTTACTTTCATACAGCAGAGGAAACTTTTGTTTGTTCGCGGCAAAGGTACCGAAGGCTGCTTTGAGTTGCCCAAGACCTTTCTTGACAAGTGCCTGGTCCTCTAGCATATCATTGATCACGTAGAGAATCAACGCAAACTTCGCAAGAGCCTAAAATCATTCAGCTTTCCGTTTCCTAGATAAATATTTCGTCCAGGTTTGAGAAACGGCTTACCTTCCCACTGAAATACATGGAGTCTAAATTAGACTGTGCAATCATGTTCTGTCCCAGCTCGGAGGCTGCTGCAGCTTTAATCAGACTCTTTGCGTCTTCCGACAGTGTCTTGATGCTTCCCTTCTCCGGATGCCAGGGCGCAAAATCCATTTCAACTGGCATCTGTGGCTCGACCATAGTCCACTGTGTTCCTTTCACGAGGGTCGCTATTCCTTTCGTGGTAGATTGTAGCTTTGTGCTCTGGATTCTCTTCCTGGTATCCTCGTGAAAGGATTCTATATGATGCGGAAGGGCGAACATGTAGAGACTCCCTGTATCGTGGCCATCCTTCTGGTACTCGAATTTATATGTCCCTTTATTTCCAGACGATGATCCAGAAAGAGTCAGCGTTCTGGGGTAGATCCCAGCGCCATCATCAAGGACTTCTTCGGATCCAGGTGTCAGAGGGTCCTTGCAAATCTGAAGCACGCCAGTGAACGGACTCTTGGCTTCCGCAGTTCCATTATTGACTACCTGCATATCCAGATCCTCTCCTTTGGTTCTCCAAGCGTATACCCTCCAAGTTGATCCATCTTCTAGGTTGAAGTTGAATTTCGCCATATTCTTCTTTGGGTTTTTCGAAACTCGAGTCACCGTCTTGAAAAAGACGCCAGACTGTATCAGTGGTATTGTTTCACTGAATTCGGCAGTAATGTAGGGCATTCCTTGGACTAGGGGGAACGATATTGCGGGTGGTGTCTCCTGATCTTTACTTAGATGGACTCTGGCTGAGAAGGCCGTCATACTGTCGATTGTTAGGGTAGAACTTTTACCAAGTTCCTTGGCAGAGATAACCATCGATTCAATGCCAACAGGGTTGATGAAGTACGCCGAAGCTCCGTGCAGTTTCTCCTTTCCGAAAACTCTTTGCTTTGCCTCAATATGCGAGCACGACATTCCCCAGCTACCAGATACACCTTTTCCAGCAGCCCATGCTATGGAGTATGGGAATGTATATGTAGGTCCTCGCTGATCTCCTAGAAAGAAATTGGCGTAGAATTTGTTGGTTTGAAGTGGCATCTGGGACTTGATTCCCAGCCTAGATACTGGATGGTCTTCTCGGACCTCGAACGTTGAGGGCGGCGGCCTCGTGTCGATAGGGTCCTTGAAAATATCGCGGCCAAACATCGTGGGTGGTATCGTTATGTCCGGGAAAGAGGATATCGTGGGTTCAATTTTGGAGTTCGAGAACGGCTTTTCAAAGGGAGTAATATGCTGGGTTTCAGGTGTCTGAGTTACACTCAAGGAACTTATGTTGCCAAAAATGGGAGTAGGCAAATAGGCGCTTGGGATCTGGGTGTGCTCCCGGGTGGTGTGCTCATGAGAGCTTTTGGTAGTTGAAAGGATGGGCAATGTGGGATTGTCGAAAGCCGTCACCGTATGCTCTTTAACAGGATATGATATAACTTCAGTTGGTGTGTATTTTTCGCTTTGATACCCAGCGAATGCACAACTCTCGACAACTTGGTCCAAGGCCTCCTGATAAGGTCGGAAATATCCGTTCGGAAGTGCGTCGAGCGGCGTACCGTTCAAAGGCGGCGCAGAGTAGTCCTGTCCAGTACCTAGGTCTATTAATACTGACAATACTTGGATTTTGGTCAGTAAAAGCACATATAAGATAAGATAGAGGGTGGTCATTGTTTCGGCAAGTGGTGATTTGATATGATATTGGGCATCCCTAGTCTCCGTATAATCTCGAGTTGTCTGTCATGGGGGAAAGCAGTAGGATGTGTAAAATGCAGATTATCCATCTTTTCTCCATTTTGGAATAGATGTTGTGATGGAACAGTAAATTCTCAGCCATGATTCAGAGCCAGGAATAGACTCATGAAGGGGTATTTGGGAAGGCAACGCCAGTTCTTCAATCAAGAATGGGGAGGTTACCTTTATCAATGATAATTTTCTGAGGTACGAAGTTGAGCAAATACTAGGGCGTGTAAGAGATAAAAGCGTTTGGTGCCGATTAGGATAATGCGTGATGAGAACTTGTCAAGATAGAGATGATGGTGGAACGATTCTGTTTGTGGTCGCCAAAGATGGACGATAAACAGAAGTAGCAACTATAGGGCTACAAAGGCGAGGCAGGCACCTACCTGCCCAATTCTGCTGAATATTCAAGCTGGATTGACAGAGGTAAGTGCTACCTATATAGCAGGACTTCATGTTAGCAGCGGAGAAGGTACGAGAGCGTGTCGATTCGCAGACTGCTGGGTCGCTGATTCCAGCAACCACAGACAATAGAAGAGGCCACAGTCTCACTCACAGCAGATAAGTCACATCTCGGAATATCTCAAGATTATTTAGGAAAGAGGCGTGAATAAGAACGAAGACGTCGCTCGCTCATGCCCGTGATTTTGGTTGTTTGACAGTTTGCTCCACCCACCACCAAAAGTCTTGGGCGTGACGTAACCCAAGTCATGGGCATGGGTATTGGACTCTGACCATATTTTCTATGTAGCTGCAAATAAGAATAAAATACAAGACAAAAAGTCTCGGATTCCGCCACAGCCTGAGTGATAATATGCTGCTGGCTAATAAATAACAATAGTTGTTGTGTCGCGAAATCCCACGACTGCTGGGCCACAGATAACTCTACAACCCCAAAGCACTAAATTTCCCCTTCGCACCGCCCTCCCGTATAAAGGCGGCAACATCAACATCACGCTCCTTGGCAGGGTGTTTGTTTGATTTGTGATTGTTCGTAGAAGATGCGCCCCGTCCCCGTGACGATTCATCTTTGACTCGCTTCTTTTTCGATGCCTCTGCTGACCGTGTGGCACGTCGTTGGCACTTCTTGATGCATTCCCTGCTCAAAGTCCAAGGTTTGCTCAGAATGTCAATGCGAAACTTCTCTCGCTTCTCCCATAACGAAACCTCCTGCATCGTACTTTTTACCGGCTGCATCTTCTCAACGTTGATTTGTCTCTCGTCTCGAAATGTGGTGAGACTGCCCTTGATATCCAGAATGGTTCCAACATCGATCCCATCATAGGGACTCTTCGGCCCCTGTGGTTGATTTCCTGTCCCATCAGCCCCTTGATCTTGCTTCTGAGCCGTTTCCCTGGCAGTGGACAGGTCTGGCTTGACTCCTAGAGTGGTAGTTGATCCTGCTGGTGGGCTTGTGATCTTGAGCACTGCCTCGAGGCAGACACCGCTGCTGTCATCAATCGTAAAAATACGTCGCTTAGGAATATCATCAATCGCAACCACCAATCCAACGATGCGCACCCATCTTATGGGGAGATTCTTATAAAAGTAATAATCTTGACCTACAGACTAACTGGTCAGCCACATCCATCAGGTTGACTCTTCGGTCCTCGGGCGCACGCACCTTGATAGTCCTTTGGCTGCTTCAGACGTTTGATGTCGGCTGCGCGTAGAAAGCACCATTTGTTGTGTGTTGGCGCAAGATCAAAGCAGTATCGAGGGTAGATTTCCAGCTTCGCGTGCGGACGCGACTTGTCGCCCATGGCGCATCGACCTGCAGAAGCGCCTGTCGAAGCTCAACAATGGTGGCGCATTTCATAGTAAATTACCAGGTGATTCATGGAGCTGAAGAGGTTTGACAAATACCATCTTGCCCTTGAGTATGGTATCTGGCGAGCCCTGTGTCAATGCTAGAGAAAGGCAGTGTCTCTTTTGGCCGTGCTTAAATGAACGCTGATTGCTGAGAGCAGTGGTGAGACGGCGCCTTCCAGGAATTATAGCACGTGTGGAACCCAACTCGACCTCATGCCACTGATTATTATTCCCCCACCAGCATTTCATACAGAATCAATGCGGCGCTAGCAAATGGAATCCAAAGTAACGATAAACAGTCATTCATTATTAGTATAAGAATTCAACGTATTGCTACTACCAGGTCACCGGTAGGAACAGAAATGGGAGCGATCCCAGAGCAGGATCCATCACAAAATTGACTTGGATATATTTGGCTTGTCAGCCTGTCCGTTAAAATAACCAGAAGCTTCCTATTCTAACAAATTCCGGCCGTACTCCGTAAAGCAATGCTAATCCCTTATTAAGCTCACCCATGCCCAGCTCGAAAACACACGCTCATGACCTTGCCCTCTTAGCCCGGGAACTGGATCCTGATTTCTCCCTCGTTGCCTTCGCCGACTGTTGCCTTGCACCAACAGCCTGGAAGGCTTCCTCGGGTGGCTCATCCGGAAGCGCACGCTTCTTTCCCTTCTTCCCCTTGCTTGGCGCGGCATACTTCTCCGCAAGGCGGTCCAGAAAATTATCAGAAGATCTTTCCTGCTGTCGCTTGGAAATCAACGCTGCAAGATCATCCTCTGAACTTCCTTTTCCTTTCTTGCCCTTCTTTTTGCCAAAGAGCTTATCATGGACTCCAAGTTCCTTGGCATACTCCTCGGCCTCCTTGGCTTCGGATTCCGCCTCGGCCTTGGCTCTCCTAACCCGGGCCTCGCGTTTTCTCTTTGATTCTTTGGAGTAGGCTGAGAAGTTTGGAACCCGTTCGTCTTGTATCGCCTGGTCTATAATTTGGCGGAATCGCTCATCGTCCTCCAGCACATCACTGAGAATCACTGATTCGTAGATACCATCCATATTTCCTTCGGACTGTTCGTATGCGTTGAGAAGATCATCCTTCTCCTCGTCGGATCCCTTGTATTGCTTTGCAAATTTTTCGATCGCATCGGCGGAAATCGAGTCTTTGAATTGTTCGCGATAGAAGTCGCTCCAGTCGAAGCCATCGGAATCAACGATGGACTCTGATGTTGAGCCCGTCTGGTCGTATCGTTTCCGTCGTGCAGGATCCGAAAGGATAGCGTAAGCGAAGGCAACGGACTGGAAGGCCTCGTGGGCCTTTTCTTTTTGGTCTGCGGGTGCCTTGTCTTTGGTTTTCAATAGATGTTAGCAGGATTCCTGGCCCAAGAGAAGAGTGAGCTTACCCGGGTGATGCTTCAATGCAGCTTTGCGATAAGCCTTCTTCACATCATCACTGGATGCCGTTCGTTCGATGTTCAGGACTTCATATGGATCAATGACGGGTGGTTCGCCTTCCAGAATATCCTCGGTATCTGACATCGTGTCTCAGTGCGTTGGGCCCAACTTCAAGTTTGGTTGATGGAGAATGACAGTGCAAATGCAAATCAACTTAGTGGTTGATCTTGTAGCATCAGACGCGTCGCGTAGAGCTCTACACATCCATGCACTACCCTATATAGAAATGTGGGGGAAGGTCAAGGTGGATGGACGCCTATATCGGGAGCTCTGAGTGCCGCCACATGTACCTGGCAAAGCACTGGGCAGGCGTGAGGAAATCCAAAGATCAAAAGTTGCAAAGATACATGTTTAATTTCAATTTGTTTGAATATGTGAATTTCAAGAATAATTGAAGATAAGGGGCATAACTTAGAAGGTAGGCAACACTTGTTAGTTTGTCCAACCGCTAAAAGATGGGGCCGAAAGAGCAAAGGTCCCATGGGGAAATTCCTCTCATTCAACAACCAGCATCCCGGTACGAAACCTCACGCAGCAATAAAGAAACCAAAGAAGAGGATAATAGGAAAAACAATCCAGCACTATGGGCAGCTCTGATATTGAAACCATGCAACATGCTCTAGAGCTGGCACGAAAATCGCCACCAAAACCAACCAACTTCCGAGTTGGTGCTGTCCTGATGCGGCTTGCAGATGGCCATTTTTCGACAGATGGATACACATTAGAGCTCCCCGGTAATACCCACGCGGAGGAGTGTTGCCTTCTCAAGCTGGCCGAGAAGCATTCAATTGCGGAAGAAGACCTTTGGCAAAAGGTTACTGAACCACATGCTGTGTACACCACCGTCGAACCTTGTTCAAAACGTTTGAGTGGGAAGATGACATGCACGGAAAGGATTCTTCGTCAGAAGTCATGGATCAAGAAAGTCTATGTTGGCGTTCAAGAGCCCGACACCTTTGTCAGTCAAAACGAGGGGAGACGAATGCTAGAAGAGGCGGGGATCGAGGTCATCCACGTCAAGGGCCTAGAGGAAAACATACTCCAGGTTGCAACTGCAGGTCACATCTCGGAGTGATACTGCTTTCCAATAATTACTATTCGCCTGTGCGATCGGAATGTTTATGAAGGATTCATGCTGCAGCGTTTCACCACATGCAGCCAAT